CGATTTGAGTAAGGACTGACAGATTTATTTGAATTTTTTGAGGAGATTGCTGAAATGGTAGATGAAGAGGTTGTAATGATCAGGTGAGGAGGGGTGATTTGGGTTCTTCTCTTCTTAACACCATTGATTGGCCACAACAAAAATTTAAATTATTTTTAGCATGTAGTTATATTATACTTCAGCTAAAACCACATCTTATCTCGGCTAGTTCAATAACATTAAAATTGAGGAACCAATTACATGGTTTATTGAACGAAAGAAGGCAACGTTATTACCGACTAACCCTGAGAAAAATAATAAAAAAGTATAAAGATAATAATAAAAAAACCCATTAAATGTACACACAACACATGTATAAAGTTTAAAAAGAGGAGAGTACCTAGTACTAGAAAGAGGATGAATTTTCAGTTCGAAAAGTCCTCAAATCCTTGTTAGAATTAACATTAAAACATTTAAAAGGCATCTGGATGGGTATATGAATAGGAAGGGTTTAAGAGGGATATGGGCCAAATGCTGGCCAATGGCACTAAATTAATTTAGGATATGTTGTTGGCATGGACGAGTTGGACTGAAGGGTCTGTTTCCGTGCTGTACAACTCTATAACTCCATGGTTATTTAATTGATTACTTGTATCCTGAGCAGCAGCAAAATTTGTATTTATCTTTATATCCATGATGAATGGGTGTTTCTCTGTTGCTTCTCTGTTGTCTTCTGAGAGGACGACAGAAAAATCAGTGTGAGAGATGATCTTCTCTGTTCTGCTGTTATAAATGCAATTTTCCTCTCCTTGCTCTGCCCAGAAACAGTTGCTTGAAGTACTGTTGCTTCATTATTCCCAATGCCTGGCTTCATTGCTTTTTTCTAAACTGGATAATTTACAGATAACTTTCATCCCAATATGTGAAATTTTCAGAAAGGTGTAATTCAAACTAAAGATACAGATCTGACTGATTGATTTTAATGACTTGGATGACATGCTAATTTTAGTTCAGACTGAGCCTACTTTATCATGATGGTGTGCTGAGGTGTTGCCACTTCAACACACCGCCATGTTCCCTGGCCAACATCTCTGTCTCAGGCTTACTGCGGTGCTTCAGCGAAGTTCAGCATTAGCTGGAAGAACAGCACCTCATTTTCCACTTGGGAACTCTACAGCCTTCTGGACTCAATATCAAGTTCAACAATTTTACGGCTAAAGGCACATTCTCCCATGTCCTTACCACAACCCCCACACAACTTGTTATCACATGGTCTGCTATTACATACAACCCATTGTTAGGCACTAATTGTCCTCAGAACTGGCCATTCATTCTCTGAGACTGATCGTTATACATTCCTTTGTCTGGCCAACTGTTAGGAAGGGGATATCAAACCCCTCTGATAAGTAAAATCGAAACACAAGTCCCCAATCTGTAATGGTGGGAGTAGAGGTTCCCTTCTAATAAATTAAACTCAAAACACTCAGAGAAGTTGATCTCACCTCATCTAATCTGTTAAACTGTTACAGAGAAGGGAAGGTTAAATGAAAGAAAATCCCTGATATTCATTTTATGAGTAACAAGTAACAATTTATTTACTTAACCCTAACAGTGAACAAATTAACGGAATTACTAACAAACCGAACAATTCCCCCTTAACTACTAACTATTCCCTAACTGAACTAAATTCTACTGGTATACCGTTCCAACAAACACAAGTCCCACTTGTATAAACCCAAGTAATAAGAAAATAAATTGAAACTTAGTCTCTCAAAGTCTACAAACTTTTCTTCTGCTGTTCTCAAGTCTTTCTTCCGCTGATCCGACTATCAGGGATGTTTTCTCTGTGAAGTCTTCTGTGAGGACTCTTAGCTAGAAATTCATTGGTACCTTTTATGGATAGACAGCTTAGCGATTTCTTGTGAGAGTTTAATGCTTATTTCTCAGATGGTGGTTCGCTCTCTCACTGGTTTTCAAAAATCCTCTCCTTATATACCTTGGATGACATATCAATTTTCTTACAATAGCATTGGTCCCAGGTTGTCAAAACCATCAGATTTAAATTCAATTGGCTTTCAATCACTAAGTGTTTGGTTTAAATTAATTGGCTGATTCCAGCTCATTACTAAAACATCAAAACAAGCCTAAGATTTCCAATCACACAGCCAATTGATATATATATATTTCAATTTCAGAACTGGCTGTACCCCTTCAGCTGCTTAGATACATTTTCTGTATATATCTCTAAACTTGGAAAAGCACTTCACCTCTTAAAGGAGCCTCTTCTCCATTTTTTTTAACAAACAAATTCTAGCTTTCTGCCTTCCAATTCATGATTGCTCTACACAACTTCATAACACAACTGTTTTCTCTCTTTGGGGTCTATCTCCACCTACTGTTTACTCCTTACTCTTTCCCTCCACCCTATCTTCTGCATAAAAACCATTTTCTTTCCTAGCTACCATCAGTTCCGAGAAAGGGTCACTGGACCCAAAACATTAACTCTGATTTCTCTCCACTGATGCTGCCAGACCTTCTGACTCTTTCTAGCATTTTCTGTTTTTAGATCTGATTTCCAGCATCCACAGTTCTTCGGGTTTTATTTTATTTATCAATGGTTTTGTGAACTGGATCAACATGTTGTCTGGTGATCGTTGCAGCCATCTTAATTCAGTGCTTTTCCTTTCTTAAAACTACTTTAGTCAATGAAATAGCCAAGATATTATACGTTAGTTGGTGGAAGTTGAAAACTGATAGTTTCCTCATTCCCATAACAAGGTGTCTATGTATGTTATTTATCTGGTCCTCTAGAAGACACTCAACAAGGTACTATATAAGAAACTACTCACAAAAATTAGAGTCCCTGGAATTGGAGGTAGGAGATAGAGAATAGAAATAATGGGTTTGTACTCAAAGGCCAGGATGTATCTAAAGTTGAGTCATATCAGCCTCGAAACATTAACTCTGTTTCTCTCCCCACAGATACTGCTAGATCTGCTTTCTCCAGCAATTTCTGTGTTGGTTTCAGATTTCCAGCATCTGCAGTATTTTGCTTTTGTATGTATCTAAAGGTGTTTTCTCAAAGACTTGTCTTGGAGCATCAGACTGACACTGTATTTCTAAATGACGATGAAAGAATAGAGATCTATATACCCAAGTTTACAGATGACATGAAGCTACATGGCATTTATGTATTATAGTTGGGAATAGAAAGTTGCATAAGGGCTAGATTAAGTATACACCATGCTGAAAACATCTGGTGTGACTACACCACCACCTCTTTTGAGCTTTCCACTGCTTCAGAATTTTCAAACATCTTTTCCAGTATCAGGTTGTTAAGGCAACGCCAATTGAAAATCTCAAAACTGAAATGGACAGATATTTGTCTGGTAAGGTTATTAAGGGATATGGAACCAAAGCAGTTAACGGAGTTAAGATACAAACCAGACAACTGACTAAACTGAATAGACTCAAGAGACAAATAACCCCACACCTTATCTTTGAAGAAGAGTCAGTGGACTTGAAACCAAAGTCTCTCGCCCTCCCCAGATGCTGGTACTTTTCTGTGCTGCCTAGTTTTGTTGCCTAGTTCCTCCAGCAATTTCTGCTTTTGTTCCTTTTTCTTTTAAATTGGGCTAGTATCCCTTTTACCATTTAGTCCAAAATTCTGCAGAAAAGTAGGAATAAATTGGGAATAATATTTTTAAAAAGCCGCTGGAAATAGGCAACACGTCAGAAAGTTAAAAAAGTCAAACAGGTGACCTTTTAGCAGAATTGGAAGTAGCTAGAGGTCGAACAGTTTTTAAACAATAACTAAACAATTTGCTTCCGTCCCAGGTCAGACCTCACTATATTTGCCTGTCGATTTAAATACTGCTACACCTTCAAACTACAGCAAGGTTAATGCTCTTTCTGTCTCAGGTGCGACGGGGCAGCTATTTCTAACATTTACTGCCTAAAACCCAACAAGCGATTTATATTCTGCGTTCTGAAATCTTCTCAGCTAAAAAAAACACGCCTTGGCCGAACCAGTTGATGCAATATTTCTCATTCCTCTGCATATACCTACAATGTAGGAATGAGGTTGATGATATCAGAGCCAGAGTTGGTCGAAACTCGAGCCGGAACCTGTTTAGCCGGGACTTAGCATTGCATTCCGTTTTTTTGTCTGCAACACAATTTGGGTTCGATCTGCCCTCCACCCTCTCAAAGAAAACAAATAAACAAACAAGTTTGCCCCGCCTCTCATTACTCGCATGTTTTTAAACATTTTTAAAGAAAAATAAAGAACCGCAGATGCTGAAGATCTGAAACAAAACAGTGTTGTAGAAACAGAGATAGTAGGAACTGCAGATGCTGGAGAATCTGAGATAACAAGGTGTAGAGCTGGATGAACACAGCAGGCCAAGCAGCATCAGAGGAGCAGGAAAGCTGACATTTCGGGCCTAGACCCTTCTTCAGAAATGGGGGAGGGGAGAAACTCCTGGCAGCACCTGTGGAAAGAGGAAAAACAAAGTGAAACAACAGTCCTCCTGCGCAGCATTTTTGCTGTTCACAAACAAGAACAGAAATTGCTGGAAAAAGCTCAGCAGGTCTGGCAGCATCTGTGGAGAGTAATCAGAGAGTTTCGGTTCGAGTGACCCTTACTCAGAACTCAGCCATTTCTGTTAACGTTTTTATTTTCAGAAACACATTGTAACAACCGAAAGAATTGTGGATGTTGTAAATCAGAAACAAAAACAGAAATTGTTGGAAAAAGCTCACTTCTGAGGAAGGGTCACTAGACCCGAAACATGAACTCTGATTTCTCTCCAGAGGTGCTGCCAGACCCTGCTGACTTTTCATTCCCCCACCCAAAGCAATTTTTCCATTCTTGTTTGTAAATTTTTAAACACGTGTTGCTTTAATTGCATGGTGTCATTTCAATCGCCCGGAGCTTCGTGGGCGGGTGTAAAAGGGTGGAATGAGTTCACTCTTCAGTCTGGTTGAAAAGTTTAAAACCAGTCTTTCCGGTTTCTGTGATAACAAGGTGTACAGCTGGATGAACACAGCAGGCCAAGCAGCATCAGAGGAGCAGGAAAGCTGACGTTTCGGGCCTAGACCCTTCTTCAGAAGACCTTCTGTGTAATCTGAGAGTTAAAGCTCGTCCCGTTTGCTGAGCCACGAGTGAGCGGCCATTGCTGGTCAGTTCTGTAGTGACTGCCACAAGATGCGGACCCCAGCGGTGATGATCTTGGGGCTTGTGTTAGCCCCTTCTGGCTATGTGCTAATTGTAACCTGCCTGGCTGCCCCTGCCTGGAGAGACGTGTCCGGGATTCCCAACGGGGCTCGGGATGAGGTGCACCACCAGGGGCTTTGGGAGATCTGTAAGGACGAGCAGTCGGTGCGGGAGCTGACCTGCGGTCTCGCCGACGATGCCTACTTCAACGACCAAGTGCTGTCCATCGCCCGAGGTCTTATGATCGCCTCGTTGGTGGTGTCTGCAGCTGGGATCCTGGTCTCCGCTTTCGGGGTCCGCTGCTGGACCGATATCCCCAGCTACAAGGTGGCAGGGGTCGGAGGGATCATCCTTATGATCGGAGGGATCTTGACCCTGATCCCGGTCTCCTGGTACACAAACCGTCTCCGGCAGATCCCCAACACAGTGGCTGGCACTGAGCTCAATGTTGGCTACGCGGTAATCCTCGGCTTCGTTGGCGGTAGCCTGATCGTCATTGGAGGAATCAGTCTGCTGTTTAGTTTCGGCATGTTGGCGGAAAGCAAGAGCCCGGCGAACAAAACTTACTACCCGAAGAGCCCAGCATATCCCGCCAGCAGATACCCCACTGGCATTACCAACCCAGTCACAGTGATAGACTTACCAGTGTCCAGCCGGCCCACTCCAGCTCCTTGGGATGCCGACTTGTAGATGGACCAGGTTCAATCCGGTATGGTTTAACAATTTAAGAGTCATAGAGATGTACAGCAAGGAAACAGACCCTTCGACTCAACTCGGTCATGCCTAAATGTCCTAAATGAATCTGGTCCCACGTGCCAGCATTTGGCCCATATCCCTTTAAACCCTTCTTATTTCATGTATCCATATGCCTTTTAAATGTTGTAATTGTACCAGCCTCCACCACTTCCTCTGGCAGCTCATTCCATACACACACACCACCCTCTGGATGAAAAGGTTGCCCCTTAGGTCCCTTTTAAATATTTCCCCTCTCACCTTAAACCTGTGGCTTCTAGTTTTGGACTCCCCTGGCCTGGGTAAAAGACCTTGTCATTCACCCTATCCATGCCCCTCATGATTTTATAAACTTCTATAAGGTCAGCCCTCAGTCTTTGATGCTCCAGGGAAAATAACCCTAACCTCTTCAGCCCCTCCCTATATCTCAAACCCTCCAACCCTGGCAACATCCTTGTAAATCTTTTTTGAACCCTTTCAAGTTTCACAACATCCTTCCTGTAACAGGGAATTAAACTAGGAATTAAAATTGACGCAGAAACAGATCCTTTAGACCAACTGTTCCACCTTTCAGATAAAGAAGTTCCTCTATCTCCGTCAGAATACAATTCCTTTCTAATTATTGTTTGTCTCACTTTCCCTGAAAAAGAAACATTAGTACTAATTCCCAAACTTGGAAAAATCTTTCATATTCTAACCACTTTGTTTAAGAAAAAAAGAAATGGTCCTCTTGAACCTATTGTTGGATTTATGGTATTAGTGAGCAGCTACTGCCCCAGCTTTCAATTTCTTCACAAGTAAAAATCATTTTTCCTACACCCTTACTGAACTGTCATAATCTTAAAGACTTTCTGTCAGATCATCTCTCAGTCTTTTCTGCAGAAAAGATAACTGGCTTGTTAAGTGTTTACTGATAAGTATAAGTTCCTACAGACTGGTATCTTCCTTATCTTTTCTGTGACCTCTCGGGGTCTCTGTATCTTTTATATAATTTGCAACCAGTGCAAAGTCTGTTGTGTTCTATTTTGAAAGCAATTTGCCAATTACACACCAAATCTCCAGCTCAATCAACGTCTCACCAAAATTTGTTACAGTTCTCCTCATTATTGATTATATCCCCTGATTAATTGGCATCATAAAATTTTAATATTTTACTTCTAATTTCCGAGTCCATACCAGTAATTCACGCAGCAAAACCTATAGAACATGAGTTCACATCTTTAGCCATTCTGAGTCACTGCCCTGAAGCCTGACTCTCTATTTTCTGGTTCATAGCCAGCTAGTTATCCATATGTATCTTGTTTCCTGACTTTGCACGTTCTGATCATATTGATGAGTTTACTATACATTATTATAGTCTTCACCTTCTGCATTAACCATGTATACACCTTCTGTTACTTCTCCAAATAACTCAATAAAATTTGTCAGGCATGTTGACAATTTGTAATTATATTTTCAGTTTTTAGAGGTTTTACTAACAACATAGCTAGAAGTGATTCAGTTCTGACTTTCCTCTATTAGTGATGATCATTAGTATTTGTTCCTGTGACTCTGCACCTGAAAATAATTGCGTGTGTGTTTTTTTCACACCAAGGTTTCTTCAGCAGTATCTCCTAAATCTGGTACCTCCAACACCCAGGAGAATAAGGGCAACAATTACATGGGAACACCATTAACTCCCAAGTTTCCCTACATGCTACACAACATCCCGATTTGGACAAAATTGTCGTTTCTTTATTGTTGCTGGGACAAAAATCGAGGAACATATTATCTACCAGTGCTCCAGGAACATCTTCACCATAAATAAAGGATTATCGAGGTTATTGACTACTCATACCCTTCTAGAGAGATACTAGGAATGGATGATACCAGCCTTTGCTAGTGATACCTGCAGATTAAAATTATTGTTTAAAAATCCGTTAGTGATAAACAATTCAATGAAAGCAGCAATGAGATTTATGTTATCAAGGACGAAGCATTTATATGCCATCCACAGCTGATACGCAATAAACTTTAGGAAGCTGGCAAATGCTTGAAAATGCTCAAACCCTGAAAAATGCAACGTGATTATTTTTAATGAACAAAAGTAATGAATTTACATGAGAAACTAATGGAAATCTGGAGTTGACAAGAAGTTAATTAACAGCCATTGAGTATAATTATAAAATTGCACTGTGGCTAATAGTAATGCAATATGTTAGATAAGGTAAAAGTAATGGAATTTGAGATATGCTTGGGTAAGTGAATTCATGTTTAAATGTTGTTTTCACTCGACAAGCAAGGTTCAATAGGTGAATATGCCTTTTCTAAGGATATTAAAGGGAAATTGTAGGCTATTTGAATAGCAAGCAAAACCATTCCTTGTGAAGGGCACATTTATTATGGAATAAACCATTGGATGACATAGAAAGCATATAAAGTTAAATTTTGTTTCCAGAGTGTAGTATAGACTACTACAATCTCTGAAGTTCACAGGTTGCTGAAGGAATGTGTGAATCTGTGATGGTGTGTCTGAGGAATCATCTCGTGTCCTTGTGCTTCCTGTAGGGATTGGAAGTCAAACATTTGGAGACCGTTAAATCATGGTCCTGTAAATCCCAGAGTTCTTGTTGAGAGCACATAAGTCATCCCTTTAATATATTCTTCCACAGGTTACTTTGTAAAATAATAGGTTTCAGATGATATATCTACTATTGAGTAGGGCTGAAAACATAGCCTCTGGAGGCATCAGCTCCAGTGATGGCAGAATGGGAACTTCTTGCTGTGGTAGGCCCGGAGCAGGGACTTTGTGCAAGTCCTGAAACCATGTTTAGGACCCCAGCTGATGAAGATGAATTCTATTTAAGTGCTTTCTTTTTATTCTTTTGTATCTCAAAATGGCACCAGATTGTGGCATCAGAACACTTTTCACAGTCTCTCCCTAGATATATGTAACAATAAATCATTCAGTCTTTCATTTAAAGTGAAAGGAGAAATTAGATAAATTTGAGGCAAAGAGAGATATTTAGAATAGCTATTCTTTTCAGCTCTGTTGTGAGTATGATTGACTCTATCATAGACTCCTATGTTCTTTCACATTGTAAAGTTTTCTTCACATCTGTAACAGTGTTAAATTGATGTTATAGAATAACGAGTGCACTCAGGAGTAGCTAATTGTACAGACAGCAGTGGATACAATAAACATTGGAATTGTAATGATGAAATCAGTAGATTTGGAAGAATTCGCATCATCATTTTGCTGTAGATTTTTGTGTCTGTATAATTATTTATCATAAATAAATTCCATTATTCATTTTAGAATTATGTGATATTTAACACCGCACAGTGTACAATGTAGCAAGTATAATAAAGAGGTCATTGTTAAGCCTGTGACACCCCCATCCTATTTGAGCTACACACAATATGCAGCTTTTAGTTCAAGGGAGATACTGTTGGCTATTGGAAACAAAATTTCTTTGATGAACAGAAGGTAAGTGTGGCAAGGAAAAAAATTCATCCTACCTTGGTTCACTCCATTGTAACAGTGAGATTTGAAACTCAGCTAAGAGAACCATGAGGACTGCAGATTCAGTCACGTAATGGAAATGAAGTAAGGAGCAAAGACCAAATGAATACTATAAAAAAGGTGCAACGTTTCTAGTGTGAGTTGGAAAGAACGGGCCCACTTTTGTTGAAGCTGAACTACAGACAGTTATAATTTATTCCCATTTTGATGCCAGATACTGAATAGAAGAACAAGAATAGAGTCAAAGATAAAAAATACCGCTGTTGCATTCATAAAGAAAAATTATGGATGAGGTCAAGAATAGTGTAACACAGGACTCCTGTTTGGAGAAGATTGATTTCCTTTGATTTTTTTAAAATCTGTAATCACTCAAATGTCAATGCATAATCAGATCTAGCTTAAAAATGCCTGTCAGGTGCATTTTGTTGAGAGCTAGGCAACTCTGCAAGTAGATATAAAGTAAAGACAGCTTTCTTTACACACACCACTTACCTAACATAATTTAGATCAAAAGGAACCTTTGCACAATCGCAGCTCAATATAATTAATTCTCTCTGTCAATCACATTGCTTTGCTCCAATCCTTGGCTTTCACAAAGCAAAGAGGAGGAGCCTTATTTCTGGCAAATCAACCTCCAGCGGAACATAATAATCCACCTGAGGTTGTAGACTTGCTCGCCGAGCCAGTGTGTTTGGTTGCAGATGTTTCATCACCCTGCTAGGTAACAACGTCAGTGCGCCTCTGGTGAAGCATTGGTGTTCTCTCCCACTTGTTACTTATATGCCTCGGTTAACAAGCGGGACAGAACACCAACGCTTCACTGGAGGCGCACCGACGATGTTACCTAGCAGGGTGACGAAAAGGTTTGCAATCAAACCCACTGGCTTGGTGAGCAAGTCTACAACCTCATCCACAACCTGACCTACAAACCTCAAAAACTTTAAATAATCCACCTGCATTAGGGTGAATTTAATTAGCCCAACCCTTCTACATTTGTGAATATACTTTACAAGAATATGAATTAAGAGCAGGAGTAAGTCATTCGGTCTCCCTAATCTTTACCATCATTCAATAAGATTATAGCTGATCTGATTATGGCCTTAAGTCCACATTCACATTCAGATAACCACCAACTCCCTGGTCAGTGAAGATGTTAGTTTGAACATTAGTTATTTATTTCACAAGGCAGAGTTGTAGATTTAAATAAGTTTTAAACTTTTGCCAGTTTGCTGCCTAGCAGTTTAAAATCAGCTCTAGGACAAATAAAACATCCATGTGTTGGTTATTGGAAAACACAGCCCAACTGCCCAAAACTGTTTTAGATTCAGAATACTGTGCGTTTCATTAACAAAAAGGATGCTGAAAGAAAGCAATAGATCTCTAAATTATTAGAAGACTGAAGAGCACCATTTTAAGCACACAAAGTTGCCGGTCTTCCTTAATGATGAAGAGTCAGCTAGACTCAAAACATTAGCTTGCTCTCTCTCCACGGATGTTACCTGACCTGCTGTGATTTCCAGCATTTTTTGTTTTGTTTAATCCAAGATACATTGCACCAAAGGATGAAAAAGTTTCTTTCCCAGGATGTTCATAGTGGTGGACTCAGCAAGCCAAGAAGAGGTAGACTGTCTTTTTAAAAAAAAAAAAACAAAAAAAAAAAAAAAAAATTGGAAATGCTATCACACACAAGCAAACAGCTTTTCCCACTACCAAATCACCTATGGCAATTATCACCTATTAATCACCACCATTAGATAAATTTTGTTGGAGATGATTAATGGTTGGCACTTGTGTGATGTGAATGTTACTTGCCACTCATCAGCCCAAATCTAAGTTTATCCAGGTCTGACTAGCACAGACATTATTCAACCCAAAATGTTAATTGTTTCCATCTCCATAGATGCTGTCTATCCTGTCAAGTATTTCCAGCAGGTTCAGTTTTTGATTTTCCGGAATCCACAATATTATGCTTTTATCTTGGTTTTTCTATGCCTCGCTGGCTCCTTCATGGACCACTACAGTAAGGTGGTGAAGGGTTATTGGGGTGGGTGGACATGTGGAGATCATGTGGAGATGAGATTACAATCAAAATAGCCACCATGTTATTAAATGGTGAAGCAGGTATGAAGGGCCCAGTGCTGCTCCCAACTCAGATGCAAGGATAGATGAATCCTCTCCTCCCACTCCTGCTGTAAGATGTCTTTTACCCTGACAGTGGGCAGGCATCTCAATATTTGGAAGTCATGGCCTCACCTACAATGAATGGTATCTAGTTCAGTGGTGTCATGACTTAATTGGAAAGAGTGTGCTAATAAGCATGTCCCACGAATAGTCAGAAAGTGGATAAATTCCCACTCATTTCTAGCTGTCTGAAATCTGCTTTCAGAACCTCATCCCTCTTACTAGGGCCTTGTGGTCCATATCGATACCAAACCTCTGGCTCTTTACTCTCCTCCAGAAGAATGGTCTGCAGCTATTTTGTAAAATCCTTGACACTGGCACCATACCATCGTGGAGTCATGTTTCTGACTGCTAATGTGCCTATCAGTTCCCATAGCTAGAAAAAATCCTGCATCAGTATTGCCTTCCACTCTTCTTTGTCCCCCTTTGTGAAGCTGAGCCACATGTGGCGCTACTGATTTGGCTCTGACTGCATTGCTCAGAGGAATCATTACCTTCACTAATATCCAAAGCAGAAAACCAAAGATGCGAGTGAAAGCATCTCAGGGGACTCACACTACCTGCCTAGGTATCTTTGATTGCCTATTGGTCCCCAGTCCTTATCTGTCCTCACAACCCTTAAGCTGAGGTGTGACCACGTGTCTAAATATGCCATATTCTTAGTCCTGTCTTGTGGATGCACAACAGTGACTCCAGCAATTACTCAGGTCCTGAAGCTTGGAGCTCAAACTTGTAGAGATGCTGATACTTCATGTAGGTGGTGTTCATCTGGGACACATGGTGCATCCATGATTTCTCACATTCCATAGACTGTATATTCCCCTTGGTCAAGCTGCCCTGTCATATTTTAAACTGTACCAATGATTTATTACAAGTAGCTTCCCAGCAACAGCAACAGCACCTTCTATTGCACCAAAATAGGAACCGAGTATTAGACAGTGAAGAAAGTAATCAAATCACTTTCTCCTCACCCCACCCAACATGTCATTAATCAAACTCATTGTTTGAAATCCATACTACACTTGAAATCCGATTCATTTACATTTATACTCTTGAGCTACAGTGCAAGAACTAGACCAAATTGACCCTGTCTTAGGGTGGAAGAAATTCATTTTACTTTCTCACTTCAATTCTTAGCACAGTAAAAAAAGTTAAAATAGTAGCTGCAGACCACAAATTTGAAACATTGACACTTAATTCAAACTTGTTCCACTTGAAATTTCCATTCCACTTGTATTTACGATTTTTGGAGTCCCTCTTTATTTCCATAATAGTCTCCAGCCCTACAACGGAGGTATCAGCTGTGCTCTAATTAGACTACCTAAAGCAACTCAGATTTAACTACTTTACCATTGGTGGCATTGGCTTCCGCACCTAGGCCCTGAGATATGGAATACCCTCCACAAAACAGGGAGGTGAGGGCCTAGTGGTATTATTGCCAGACTGTTAATTCAGCGACCCAGGTAATGTTCAGGGGACCCAGGTTTGAATCCTGCCACAAAAAATGGTGGAATTTGAATTCAATAAAAATATCTGGAATTAAGAGTTTAATGATGATCATGAAATCAATTGTAGGAAAAACCCATCTGGTTCACTAATGTGCTTTAGGGAAGGAAACTGCCATCCTTACCTGGTCTGGCCATCATATGACTCTAGACCCACAGCAATGTGGTTGACTCTGAACTGAACTCTGGGCAATAAATGCTGCCTAGCCAGTAATGCCCTCATCCTGTGAATGAATTGAAAAAAAAAAACCTCTTTGCCTCTCTATCTCACTTCCCTCCTTTAAGACACTGCATAAAATCTATGTTTTTGACCAAACTTATGGTCATCTGTTCAATAAGACTCTTGTTCATTATCCCTCTGAAGTGTTTTGGTACCTTTACAAGTATTATTACATTTTGAATGTGATACAGATACAAAATTATTGCAATCGCAATAAATGCTACCTCCCCTCTGAAGTTAGACTGAAGGGAAAGAAGCCTGGGTTGACATTATACTTTGAGTAAATGAGGATGAAAATAAAGCTATAAAAGGATGGTAAAACCAAAGTGGTTTAATTTTAGTAAGGTCCAATTTTAAAGGAATGAGGAAACAGTTAATTGAACAGTACAAGAATAGTTTGCTAGAGTGACAAAGCACATTATGGGAAATAGACATTTCATACCAATGGACAGGAACAAGAAGAATGAGGGCATCTAAATGGTAGCAAAGGAGGTAATTTAAGATATAAATCTAACAGCGTTTAACACCGATCTTCAGTGGTAGACGAATGAGAATTGAAGAGTAAGGCAAACTACTTATTTTAATACCTGCCACAAAAGGTTTAATGAATAAAATCTCTTTAGTATACTCAGGGGTAAGACAAGCTCATTGCCACACACAGTCTCTGACCTGCCTGAGTAACTATAGTGATACCAGGCTGTTTCACAATGGAAACTCACAGGATGTTAAGAGCATGGGATTCTGGGACTATAAAGCCATTGAACATCAAGGAGAGATGCCATTTCTG